CTTTGCCCTAAGTTGCATCAGCATCTGGGAGACGGGCGCCCGGGATCTCGCGACACAGCCCAATGTACACGAGCTAGCTGTGCTGCTCGAATCCGATGATCCAGATGTTCTGAAGTGGACTTCCCGCATCCTCGGAGAAGTTACTCGATCCGGGTGTGTTATAATCAGCCCTGAGTCCACTGCGTACACCCGACTGGAATCCCTTGTCGAGTAAGTCTTAATTTCAATTCATTCAGCCTCCTGCGCTGATCACTTGCAGGCATCCATCGACGCCCGTTCAACAGGACGCGCTGTATGCGCTGCGTTGTGTCGACGAGGTCTTTGAGCAAACGGAAGATATTTCATTCCATTTACCGCAGACTGTGGCTCCTCGGTACGTGCTTCCATAAATCACCTCTCGACCTTACCTAACTTTCCACAGGGATGCGAATCTCCCATTCCTGTCGGCGCTGAATTCGGGAGATATCGCCTTGGTCAAAGGCGCAATAGCGGAGCTCGAACATGTCAGCGACTCCGAACCTGGAGCCAGGAATCTGGCCAATTACCATCTCGAACCTTTTATTAAATTGCTAGGACATGGGGATGTGGGCATTCTGGAATCGACATGCAGGATTCTCGCCAACCTTGCCCGCGTTGCCCGTATTGCAATACATAAATTGAATCCATATTACAAACTCGCTGTGCTTCTATGGTTCGGAGATAATGTTACTGATCTTGCAATGCGCTGATGTGTATATGGATTGCAGGCACTCAGAAATTTCTCTTCAACATCTTGTGCTTCACTGTCTCCATCAAATATACTACCACGACGCAGAATTTAGCATCACAAGCATGCTCGCCAAGCTGTTACACCGGTCAAGCTTCTTGGTCACTCAACCGTGCTGCAAAATGCTAGAGAGCCAAGCTCAAAATATAAGTGAACATGAATCCATTGTAGAATCCGGTGTCTGTGTGGGGTTGGTAAATAGTCTTTCTCGGGTTCCTTAGTACGTCCCCCTGGCACTCGAAAGTGATCATACTCCAACTTTTGATTTCCCTGCAGCTATCATACGGGGGACAGAATCTCCGCCCTTTATGTTTGCGTGGGCCTCAGCAAGTCCGAAGTGGGTGGTCGTGCGTTGGTCAATGCCGTTTTACTCCTTTACGTCCCCTGGCTGTTGGATCACCCCACTCTCAAGGAACCAGCGTGCTACATCCTCGGCAACATTGCCCGGTGGCCGTCTCTCCACGAAGCTGTACGTCAATTGGATCTATGTAATACCCTTGACCTCATCCAAACACGGTAAGTCCCATTGTGCTTAGGCCACAATAAGTTTAATAACAATTTCCAAGGGCACCCGACCGCTCGAGTCTACAACAAGCAGCGGCATATGCCATCCGAATGATCGTCGGCGCCAGTTCCGTCGCATCTGGGTCCTCTTTCACCGCCATTGAGGAGGAAGAAGAGGGCGAATCGGTATAAAGTTATAATATGTGTTGCCCAGCGGTTTCCCTTGTCCTTTCCGTGTTGTCCACGGAAAGGAAGAAAATTATATCAATTCAAGTTGAAATGGGGGATGAGGAAGGAGACACAATGTATGGGGGGATTAGCGCATATGCAGTAGGCCGAGGGTCGACTGCGCTGGCTTTGTTGTTGCGCGGGCATACAATTAATGGCGACGATCAGTCGTGCTGGGATCAGAGAGAAAGGAACATTGGGTGCGACCTGCTTCTATGCGACTGAAAGTGATACAGATACTTAGATTGAATATGGAGATCAGGAAGGAGATGTGGTGTATGGTGCACTGCTGCATTATTTATCCAGTCCTTGACCTAGTTATGCGGCAGGCCGGGGTTCGACGCCCCGCGTCCCACATTGCAAAAATGCCTTTTTTTCCTCCCCTCATCCGCGGACTGAGGCGTACAAATTGGAGCGGGAGAATTACCTCTCCCTCTTTCACGTAAGGAGCCCCGCTGCTTGAGATCAAGCATTTACTGAGGCTCAGAAGAGAGACAAGGAAGGGGACGTGGTGTACTGTGCACGGCTGCATTTAATCCGTGAACAATGAAAATCATTCTGCAGCAGCCCAGGGTTCGACTCCCCGCGTCCCCATTCCGGAGTGGGCCTTTTTTCCCCCACCGATCCCACTCCTCTGAACAGTTATTCTCGGTGATTCAATTCTCTCAGAGCTATGATCATGCTCCGAGACGGTTGTTAAAATTTCCTCAGGCTTCTTCGTATGTACCCGCTTCCAAAAGGAATGGATATATCGAGGGTGCAAATGGAGAGGAAGAAGGGGGCGTGGTGTACGGTGCACCGCTGCATTACTTGCTGCGATGATGTGTAGATCAGTGCCTATGCAGCAGGCCGGGGTTCGACTCCCCGCGTCCCACTTCCAGTCTTCCAGGACACCTTTTTGGACTTCTTTCGCGAGGCATAGGACTGGGTTCGAATTCTACGCGATATATTCAGGTGTAAATTGGGGAGGGGAAGGGGACGTGGTGTACGGCGCACCCCTGGATTCGCTAAATGGCTCAAGAGGAGCATGATGCAGCTGATCGGGGTTCGACTCCCCGCGTCCCCCATTCCGCTTGCAATACCCCCCTTTTTTCTTTCTCAATCCTCGAGTCCTTGAAAGAGCAGGTGTTCGACGAGTTTTTCTTCGCCGTACCAGTGCAGGTTCATTTTTTTTATGTGCGGGACCAATCTGCCTACAAGTGGGTTTGTAGGAATTTGGAGAATTATTAGGTACCTCTGCCTCTTTCGGGTGGCCCCGCTGCCAAAAGGGATCAATATATCGAGGGTGCAAATGGAGAGGGAGAAGGGGGTGTGGTGTACGGTGCACCGCTGCATTAATTGTCGATTACTGTATCAAGCATTATGCAGCAGGCCGGGGTTCGACTCCCCGCGTCCTACATTCCTCATGGTGGCGGCGATATGTTTTTCTTTAGCTTTTTGTGTGGGGACATTAGAGATGGTTGGGATGTACGTCTACAAGGATGGGATGAATCAACTGGGGTGCTCCACATTGGAAGTTTGCTCACAGGTCAGCGGCAAGGTGAGAGGTAATCCGTATAGTCAAGATGAATTTGGAGGGAGTAAGGGGACGTGGTGTACGGCGCACTGCTGCATTCATTGCCTGTAGACTAGGATCATTATGCAGCAGGTCGGGGTTCGACTCCCCGCATCCTCATTTGGTTATGTAGAGCTCCCTCTTAGTTCTGTTTTGGGAGGCATTCGAAATGGGACGAGTCGATTCCACTTAGGTGCTCGACAGTTTACACCACGATGAAGCGACAATTTGGATGAAGGTGAAAGGATCGAGTGTCGCGGAGCTATAGAGTCTCGGGTCAGTGCGTGCCCAGAGTGCCAGAAGGAATGGAGGTAACGAGGTTGAATTTGGAGTGAGGAAGGGGACGTGGACCACGTCACGTGGTGTACGGCGCACTCGTTAGTAGAGAAAGCAGTATGATGCAGCAGGCCGGGGTTCGACTCCCCGCGTCCCCTATCCATCTGGCGTTCTTTTTCGCTCTCAGCCTTGTGATGAGTTCGATTGTATGTAGCTGCAAGAGTTCAAGTGTCGGAGTTCGATTTGCAAGTGTTCATGAACCTACGATTAGAAGTATCTGGGCTCCTTGTCGTACCCCCCGTGCCAGAAGGAATGCATGTAACGAAGTTGAATTTGGAGGGAGGAAGGGGACGTGGTGTACGGTGCACCGCTGCATTTACTAGTCCAGTGGGTTTATCAGGTTATGCAGCAGGTCGGGGTTCGACTCCCCGCATCCTCATCCCATATTTCCTGCGCTATCTTTTGTAGTCCTTTCGCGAGGCATACGATTCTACGCAATATATCCTGGGTGATATTAGAGAGGAGGAATGGGACGTGGTGTGCGGCGCACCGCTGCATTAATTTGTCGATTATGCAGGGCATTAGGCAGCAGGCCGGGGTTCGACTCCCCGCGTCCCCCATTGGGCCTGCAGTACTCTACTTTTTTCTCTTCGTCACTTAATTTCTTTCTCCTTGAAAGAAGGAAGGGCTCGACGACTCTTTGTTTGCCTTACCAGTGCAGGGTCCGCTTGTTCTGGCAAGGATCCAATCAAGGATCCAATCAGCTTACGAGCGGGGTGGTAGAAATTCGGAGATTGGGAGGCATTCGGGATGAGGTAGACCTCGATCTGTGACGATGGTGTGATTTAGCTCGGGTCCTCGATAATATTAATAGTACTGGCGGTTGACATGCAGGTGAGCGGGCGGATTAATATTTTACGTTCTTCCTGGCCACCCTGTGAAAGGGCAAGTCATGGATATATCGAGGTTGAATTTGGAGGGAGGAAGGGGACGTGGTGTACGGCGCATCGCTGCAGTTTATACGAGGACTATCTTAGCTCAGATTGGGGAGGGGAAGGGGACGCGGTGTACGGCGCACCCCTGCATTCGCTAAATGGCTCAAGAGGAGCATGATGCAGCTGACCGGGGTTCGACTCCCCGCGTCCCGCATTCTATGTTTCCCGAGAAAGAAAGAGCAGGTGCTCGACGAGTTTTTCTTCGCCGTACCAGTGCAGGTTCATTTTTTTTTATGTGCGGGACCAATCTGCGTACAAGTGGGTTTATAGGAATTTGGAGAATTATTAGGTACCTCTGCCTCTTTCGGGTGGCCCCGCTGCCAAAAGGGATCAATATATCGAGGGTGCAAATGGAGAGGGAGAAGGGGATGTGGTGTACGGTGCACCGCTGCATTAATTGTCGATTACAGTATCAAGCATTATGCAGCAGGCCGGCGACTCCCCGCGTTCCACATCTGTGATTTTGGCGTTTATTTTTGCCTTGGTGCTATTTGACAAGACTCTCCACTGGTCGGAGGGTAATTCAATGCCTTCTGATTCTTTGGTGTGGATGATGAGCCTTCGGGAACCCATTATTTCAGTTGGTGGAGCTCTCACTGCTATGTACTTTGGAATCCGAGCGAGGGCGGTACCGCCAGAAGTCAAGTATGTATTCAGGCTGAATTGGGAGAAGGAAGGGGACGTGGTGTACGGCGCACCGCTGCATTAGTTATCCAGGTGCTCTCGCTAGGTTATGCAGTAGGCCGGGGTTCGACTCCCCGCGTCCCCACTGGCAATCTTGGTCCTGCGCCTCATCTTTCTTCTTCTTCTTGTCTTCCCACCCAGTTGTTTTCCTTCACATCCTTGGGAATTCTACGCTGGCCCTTTACTTTTTAGGGTCCTCGTTGAAGTGTGGTTGAAAAGAGAGAATGAAGCTAAACGTTGCGTGTGTTTGGCTGGCGGGGGATCGGGAAACAAGGTAGTCTCTCCTAGACAGACGCTTCAACACATACGACGCTCGTACCTCGCGTGTGTTGAAGTCTGTTATTAAGCGCGGGGGTCCGATCAGGGTAAAACCTTGTTATGTAATTTTATGTAATCACTCCCCACCGCCAAAACGCTCGTCGATGGTCTATCTCATTTGTTTCATTGTGCCACCATCTGGAGTGCTATGCCTAGTATATTTATCGACCTTCCCTAACTCAGAACTCTTCTTTAACTCTGTTCGCGCTCGTAGGCAATATTTCACTGGAGAGCACGTGACTCGTCGCGGTGTTTGATAACCACGTTTCCCGTTGAATTTTCACAATTCTGAGGAGACAGAATCTCGAGACAATGTTCCTAGCTTCATTATATGTGCCCAAACAATGAAAAAATGCGCTTTCTGTGAGCCAGGTTTCGCGTCGAGGTTGTGATTACATAAAATTACGTAACAAGAACTTACCCTGATCGGACACCGTCGCTTACAACAGGACTAGAAACAAGGGTACATCTTCCGGCGAGGATCTTTTCTCACTGTCACTTCTCTGCAAGGACTCCAACGTGGCGGCTTCGAGTTTCAGGCCTCAGGGACGTGTCAAACGAACGGATAGGCACCTCTGATTCGCCGTGCACGGACTCTCCAACTTGGCGCGACTCGAGAGAGAGCTTGAGAACGCGCGGGACCCGACTCTCCACTGCGTCGTACTCGCATTACTCGTCTCCCGCCTACACGTCGTAATGCCGGCCATCCGCCACGCGCGCCGCGACCGCAACCCGCCGCCGGCCCGGGGCCTCGCGCTCCCCTCGCTCTCCGCCCTGCTCTCCCGTTCCTCGGCTACCTCCACCACCTCTAGCTCCACCGACCCCGCCAATACCACCGCCAATGTTAACGAGAAGAATGCGAAGAGAAGCAAAGGCTTCAGTACGGACACGACGCCGCTCTTCCTGCGGCGCTCCAAGGCCTCGCGCGTGGCGGATGACGTCGTGCAGCGCGGGCACGACGCGTCGCGTCTCCTCGGGGAGCATGAACTCGGGGAGCGGGGCGAGCATGACGTTGGAGGCGCTGCAGATCGTGCCAGTGGCGAGCAGCTGTTTGATACGGTGGAGGTACATGCGGTCTTCTCTACTCGTCCCCGCCCCCGCCCCGCCCGCCCTAGCGGAATCCTGCACTCGCTTCCTCCTTTGCTGTCCCCCCTTCCCGCCCCTTGCTTCCCTCGGAGACCCGTTGCTGACGATAATCGCGCCTAGTCCGTCCGCACGAACAAAGCCCAATGCGTGCACCAGATCGTGCGCGCGCTCATCAACCTCACCGGCGACGCGCAGGGGCTGATGGCGTCGATGATGGCGCAGAGTATCGGTCAGTTTATTGGGTGCGTGTCTGCCTCCTACTCCTCACATCCTTCGGTGGCACCCCTGCTGCGCCTTCGTGCCGTCGTTGCCCAGCCGTACCCCGCGCACCCGACTCGAGTCGATGAAGTTGGGAATTCAACAAAATATGCTCCAAAAATTGCGAAGAAATTCAGGAATACGGAGTGGACATGTAGTATATATAATGTAGAGTAAAGTAGTGTAAACGAGGCCGGATACGAGCATAAAAACCCTTCTTTTGGTCAAATGGCGCTGCCCGAAGTAATTCCTACGAGCGCCTCTAATACAAGGTCCTTCGTTCAACTCTCCCAACAAATTCCAAAGAGAGGGACTGATTACAGTTGACTAACTCAACCCGTACATATCCATATTTCAAGAAATCAATAAATTCTACCACCATATCGCAAAAAATTATGTTGATGATAGGAGCCTCTAACACAGAAAACCGCCTTCATGACTAACTACCTACCATTACATATGTATTCTAACATCATATAGGAGGATTAGGAGGCTAGAGATTCAAGAAAATATATGAAAATATCCATACTAATAACTTAGCCGACTTAAGTGACTCCAGGTCGAAGTCGGGCCGAGTCGTGCAGTCAACTCAACTCAAGTCGACTTGCTGAAGTCGACTTGGAGGGGCGGAGTTGGGAGTCGTGGCGACATTATGCCTTAGACTGCAGAGTGGTAGAATGTGTCTCTGCGCATTGTCAATGTGGGTGGGATACTCACATTTTTCTTGTACAATGCAGTTCTGAGCCCCGGGCCTCTTTTAACTTCGATGTGATGAATATTTTCAACTGTGGGAGATACTGGGCTACATATGCAGCTCAAAGATACGTCGCTTTTGAGTGTCATCAGAAAATACATTACTCGTTAGCTTTTGTCTAGGTTGAAGGACTCGCAGATAACTCCATGTATATCTATATCTGTCTGCCCCCGAAGAATGCACACATATGGCAACCTTTACGTTGATTTAATTATGCTGGCTGACGGACGAGAACGAACAGTACCTGGTTGAGGTAGAGCTTTAACTTATGGCAGGTGTGGTTTCTGTGGACTTGGAAATGGGACGGATGGAGAGATGCTTGAGAACACTGCCAGCATATAACGGACGGACATGGGTCACAGAAGTGATTTTCTACTGCCCCTAGGCCTGGGCGGTGGATGACAATAGTGTCCTATCAAAGGGCTACCCTGAAGAACTCGTATTGCCATGCAGAGCAGTGGCCTCAAGCCCAAGTTGACCGGGTTAAATCAGCAGTCAATGGTACGATCCGCCGAGGTCCCTTCACTCGGTGGAGCCGTGACTGACCGGGTTAAATCAGCAGTAACTAGTACGATCCACCGAGGAATCCTAGGACACCACAGGTCCACTTAGTAAACGCAGTTGGAGTCGCTGCTGACCGGGTTGAATCAGCAGTTACTATGATCCACTGAGGTCACAGGAATGAGTCCTAGGATAGAGGTTCACTTGGACCTCATGTTAACCCACTCTCCGCGGGGGTGGTAGGCGGCCCCGAGTGCTTTTGGAGTACTATCTGCATTTCAACCTTGTTCAGTTTCCGACAAGCCAGGATAGAACACTCAGGGTAACGTAGCCGACCAGACGTTCACGATATAATCGGAGTTCCACCCATGAAACGGGTATAAAACCTACAGCGCAGTCTCAACAGTCCTCCCAAAAAGTGAACCACGAAAGACAACCAACCCCTCTAAATCGATTTCTATCTTCCCACACACGTATTCCACAAATGCCATACTTCCTCTCTTCCGCCCTCATTCTCCTTGCCATCCTATCTTCTCAGTCTCAAGCCTAAGACGTAGACTGCCAACCCGGCGGAGCAAATGTCACTCCCTCAAACTGCATTGCAGCCGCCATGCAGCTCCTCTCCGCGCGCGCCCAATGCGACGGTCAAGTGGTGGTCCCCCCATACAGCGCGACCGTGCGGTACGGGGACTGCTGCGCGACCTTTGGGAATGCCTCCCCGAACAAGCAACCCCTCATCCTCGACCGCTTCCGCATCACCGACTTTGTCACAGGCATCAAAAAGTGCGGCCGCGGCGCAACGGACTGCGACAACGGTGTTTACCTCGTCTACAACCGCGAGGGCTGTCAGGATAGCAGCAAACGCACGGCTGCCCTGCGTAGCAACAGTACTCTACGCACTGGCAAGCGCAGCTCCCCGTGGTGCCGAGCCATCGCCAGCTACAATGTCCTCGCCGAAATCGGTGGGGCTGTCATCGAATTCATAACGTATGACGAGAAAGTCGGCAATGGTGTGAATCTGGTGATGGATCGACCCAGATTTGGACTTGTCTCCGGGTTTTGACTTGTGGGCGCGTATAACGGCGTTCTATGTCAAGCTGTCGGCTGCGATAATATCTCCAGAGGCTTCGACAACCCCAAGTTAATGTCTGGAGGACAAAAAGCGGTTTTCTGAAGAGCCATGGACCTCGGCTGGGGTCGGCATCTTCTGTGCCGACGACCTCGCGGAACGCAGTGAATAAACGAATGAATTATTTGGAGTATTCCAGTTTTCAAACCAGGCTTATATCGTTCACTCAAAGCCTCCGCCACGCAGCGCTGCTTACACCCAGAACTTTCGAAGCAAAATGTACTGGTTGTGTAGAATCAGGGGGTGGCAGTGCTTCCTGATATCATCAAAGTACCGATTCCGAGTCCCAGTGCGGATGAATGTTGATTCTTTGTTCAGGACTCTCAAGCGCTCGCCGAATCGCCGTTTGAAAAACGCTCAAGCATCAGCCTTTTCCGCACTGTGAACCGCCCAGCGACGCATGAATACGTAGCTGGATGACCTCGATGATGTCACTCGAGACTCCAACCCCTCCTGTCTGCGACACACCTTAACAGCCTTCAAATCCACCGCCATTCCCTTTCCCAACCTCCACGATGGATGAACCCATTGTAAGAGACTTTCTACCCATTCCAGACACTGTGGCGCCAGTCACCGACCCCGAACACAAAGAGGTCGCTCATTCCATCACTCAATCACCCACCGATAGTCATGCATTGGCTCAGGTAGAGCAGGAAGAGAAGGGAGCAGCGCAGGAGGGGCACGATGCTGAGGTGCTGGACTTAGGGTGGAACCAGCACCCCGACAAGGTGGCAAAACCGCTCATCAGCGGTCTCGAAAACGAAGAACTATGGCTACTCATTCGGCGGTTCAACAAAGTGCGTTCTTACTTTTCCTATCCTGTCCATCTTGGCTGAAGCTGCGCTGCTCGCCATAGCAAATGTATCATGTCAAGGAATATCCGTATCCACTGCCCGGAAAACTCGATCTTAACATCGCCGATGAAGAAGAATTCTCGCCAGACAAGCTCAGAGCGAATCTGGAGAGACTTTATGTGACTGTTGGTCTTTCCGTCATCTCCATTGTGAAGCATGTCGCGAGACTGAGGTCCTGGCGAGAA